TCCCACGAGATCTGAAGATCAGTCATCTTTCGACCTTAAAAAAAGTACAGCATTCCCATACTTTCAGAGGAATCAATTAGAGAGAATAATTTGTTGTTTTAGGGGAGGGGAAGAGGTAATGTTCTGCTAATCTTTGCTGACGAGTGAAATGTAATTAGTTTCGATGAGTGGGAGCTAGGAAGTACGCAAGCCAACAATTCTGAAATGTTCCAGATTTTGGAAAAGTTTTAAGATGGGGATGGGAAGGGGGAGGGGGCTTGTTGCCGCCTATAACAAGATGGCTTTCAGATGAAGTACAATTTTATGCTTAACTGCATTTCATTCCCACAGAGCTTTCCGTATTAAAGTTTAATTAAAATTAATTGTTACAGAGGAATGGGTGGCTTTTTTTTTATTGCCCCACATGGTCAAGTTACAGAATAATTGGCATATGATTGTGAACTCAACACAATGAGTTTTTTTTTTTGGGGGGGGGGTGAGAAATTTGTGAATACTTGAATAACTAGCTCCAGGAAAGGTAGTATAAGTCTGGACCTTTCTCACTGACTCAACTTCTGAAAGACTTTTCTATTTGAAGAAAAGAAATGGCCTGAACGGTACATCATACATGCAGCCAAGATATATTTGATGATGAAAGCATGGTCAATCTGACAGAGGGGAAAAAAAATGATCGAACGCTCAGATCATTCTCTTAAAAAACAAATCAAAATCTTAATCCCCCATTCTCTCATCGTTCAAGTGTCATGACATGAGCTTCTTGTGTGATCTCGATTCCTTTCTCTTTGCCCAAGGATTGTAGTAAATATAAGGCCTCTGGAGGAATTCCTGAGTATCTCTGGCAGGCAAAACCTCTAGGGGAAGTTGTGTGCGGTCCCTTCAAAGAGAGACTCCTTCAAAGAGAGACCACTTGGGAGGGCAGGCTATTTGCATGATACAATTGAGCTCTGTGTACAGGTAGATCTGTTAACTTCTGTTCCTGGTGTAGGCCTGTACTTAACACATGGGCAATCCACGCTTCAGGTACATGCCAAGTTCAGTTGTCAGATATTGCTCCAAGTTTGGGCTGTTTGGGACATGAACATGCCTATTAAAAAACATCCCCACCAGCACCGTCACCGTCACCAGCTTCGGGCATGGGGGGGGGGGACAGTGCAAGCTTTGGGGGCACACCACAATCGTAGATATTCTTTAGGTTTATGGTTTTTGCCGATTGTGGGGGGGGGGGGGCTGTCTGCCCCCCCCCCCCCCCCCACTTTGCAACAGGCCTGATCCCCACACCGGATCACACAGGTGGTTACAGTATCTTTTTCCCCTGTACTGTGCGTGGTTCAATGCATGTGGTGTGTTACGTGTTGGTGATTGTGTGCCCTTTAGTCCCTTCCTTGGATACAAACAGACACTGCCATGGGTTAAGCTAGTAAATTACACTGCAATTGCAAGAAAATGAAGATATATTTATCGTTTTAACACTGTTCATTTCTCATTGAAACCTAAGAGACAGCTTGCTGTTAATTTTTGATAATCAATTATATATTTTTCTGCAGTCATATTTTGGAAATGCCTCGCGTGTCAAAATCCTGATTGAACTTGTAAAGGAAACAAGGTACACATGTTTTCTGTTTATTCTCATTAGCTTCTGGAGTGTAACCAGTTAATTAGATCCTGCACCTTCTTCTTGTTTGCGAAACCGAGAGACGTGAACTTTTATAGGATCTCTTTTTCAGGTAATTTGCTAGGTAGGAAATGATAGCAATGTGGTGTCGGGCATTAACATGCATCCCCTCCTGTTTGGCACTCATTCAAGAAGTCAGACACCTGCAACCAAGACGCTATATATGTACACACGTAGGAACCATTTCCTATGCAAAAGGTCAAGACTGTCACTAAAGTACAGTCTTTTATCAATTTCTAGCTGCGGGACTGCAGCTCAACAAATCATCATGTCTCTCCGTTAGTCCGTTAGTTAGTAACAACGTTGACACTGTCTATTACTCCTACATATTTTGACCAATTTCAACCAGACTTTGTCAAAAGTATCAGTAGCCCACCCCAACATGTCCCATGACCAAACTGTTTTTTTTTTACTCAAAAAATTACTCCTTCCAGAAATTACAAGGCACAATCACGTGACTCATGCATGAACACGAATTTGTTGGCCCGCAGCTTGCGAGATACCGGTATTTCCAATCAAGCTTGTTACAGTAAAATGCACATGTACTGATGCAAAAGCAAAGTGGATGAATGATTACATTTGTACGGCAATGTCTTAGATCTGCTTGAACTCAAAAGAAACACTTGTTAACAACAACAAAACATTTTGGGGCCACTTTTTCAGAAAATGTACCCACTTTGCCCCCTTCCCGGGTCCAATAGCTGGATACACCAAATGTTGCCAAAAATGTATTCAATATTTATCTACATTATGGGTGCTGTCAATGTTGAAAGCATATATAACTAGTGTAATAAGTTCCCTTTTCTTAACTGGCGTGATGCTTGATAAATCTTCATGGTTTGACATACAAAAAAAAAATTGACAGAGATATGAAAAATGTAAAATTAAGGTTCTGGGCTCCGTGCGCGAGGAATTAAGAGCCCTCTATCTGTGACACACTGTGTGCACATACAGCACAAAAAAATGACTTTATAAAATTCTGAATGTGCACTTAGTCACAGCATCTCGCACAAGCATCAGGAGTTTGGAAATGCGTTTGACTGTCGCTCCGAGTGGTCTCCCCCAACTCTCCCTTTGTAACCGTTGAGGGGGTACTTGTGCACGGACCCCATACAGCATGGTATGACTATGATGTCACAACTAGTCAGTGCAACCCATGGGACTTGTTTTTTTCAAAACTACATCAAGGCTTCCCTGAAGGGATTAATTTATCAGTTATCATCCAACTTTCATGACAGATGATTGGTATGGATTTCCCCAAGGGTGTTATTCGTAATGATGGAATTTTGCTAATCTGTTTCGAATAATTACCCAGTGGAAGTCAACTTAATGCCTACATGATATAACTTGTGGATATAAAGAATTAAATCAGTTTTTTTTTCAGCAAGCAGAGTAATAGAAGTTTCCTTTAATTGACCTTGACAGATGGGGGATTAAACTTGAATGATAAATTGTTAGCGACACTTTCATGTTGTTGATTAAAATGTTCCTAGAAATAAAAGTAACCAGGTCATCTTTTGCATCTGGAAGTGAGTCAGACTGAAACATGGCATTCATTAATAACAAGTCTTGTGATGAACTGTGAAGCAGTTATTTCAAAACCGTTCTGACAGCTGGAAAAACATTTCAGACCTTTGTGGTAGAAAACTTGCAGATAACATCAATTAGTTTGAGAAAAACGAGTGCTACTGCTACTCAAGGTTAGCTTTCATTAAGAAAGGTCATTTACTTCAAGTGCGTTGGGTCGGGTTGGGGAATAACAAAATTGAAACAAAATCAAAGTACTTTTTTCCGGAAGTGTAGGCCTACCAAAAAAGCCCCAAAAGTTAGGCCAGTTCAAGGGCAGGCTGACCGGAGAGTATTTGTGCCCTGTGTGTATACCCCCCCCCCCCCCCCCCACTGGCTACTTCTAATGCAAGCAAGCAAGGTACACACCCACCCACAAAACACTCCCAGTTGGGGGTGTCAGGATTACCCCAAACCTGCAAAAACTTGGGTTTTGGGCACAAGGTGATGAAATGTACGTAAATGCTGTCAGCACTGGCCTGTAGTAAATAGAGTTTGAAAAATTAGTGCAGCGTCCTTTAACCTTTAAAGGGAATATACATCATTTGCTTTTGCTGTAATTTTCAGAAATGGGTGGAATTGGGGGGTTGGAAATATAAAGCAAATATAGTTACACTAACTTTTTGGAGGTTTTGGGTTCGAAAATGCTATAAAAACCAAGAAAAACGATCATTTTCCTGTAGTCTGGTTCCCTGACTCCATATAAGAAGAAACAGAGCAGTTTACATACATTGGGGGAATTGTAAGGTCAGGGAACCAGTCTAGCTGGCTCGTACCCGTTTATAGGTTTGTAATCGATTGCAAACAAGTGCAATGGTCAATTGGGGCCAGTATTTGAAAAAAAGCCAGTTGTTTCCAACGCTGATCGGCCGATCAGCGTTGGAAATTGATACAAAAATACCACTTTTCTTGAAAATGACAGTATACCAGGTGCCATAATTTTACAGGATGCTTTAGACTGTCATTTACCAACATCCTGTTAAGGTATTTCGCAAAAACTTGATAGTTTTATTTTTCGATGTTTGCAAATGTTGTATATTCCCTTTAAGTTCTGGCAGAACACTGCAATTTGTGCTGTTACAGTGGCTATCAATTTATATGGTTCTACTATGGGAAAAAAGACATCAAAAAGTAGGGGGTTTGTTTTGTTTGGCCTATGCAAGCTATAATATTGTTATGACCACCAACTAATCTTGACTGGCACTATGACCACAGACTGAAAAAATAGCCATCTTTTGCCTTCTTCTCTCCCTAATTTCCAAACGTCTGGTTTCATCAGTGCTATCCATGGTGGATAGATGCTGAAGAAAAAATTGACCAATAATTTACAAATAAGGGCTGACAACTGAGGAAGCCACTTGTATCCACATTTACAGCATGGGTGATGAACATTGAAAAAAAAAAATAGCCACATTTCCTCAGATGCTTTATGTGATGCAGGAAACTCTATTCATTGTGTCTTATGAAACGTTTTTGTTTTTCAGAGATTGACTAGAATTGACCTCATGTCATTCTGCATGTTTTTTTTTCTGCACTAGAGTTGTTAATGCTTTACCCCTCTCTATGATAACTTTATTTATAGAGCAATCCAGGCACACTGTCAATTTCATCACGAAGGCCCCCTTCAATGGCGAAAGCATTGTTATAGCTACTGTTAATCCGTCACGGTGCAGTTGCTTTGCACATCAGTGTGAACATTGATTTCTCCATTGAAGGGGCCTTGTGAGATCACGTGTCCAGACTCAAGGGATTGGGATCCTACCTTTGCAAGCCTTGCGATGCGTGACGGGCTTGGCTTCGTCTCTGTAGAACCCCTCCTTGCAGTAGTGGCAGTAGCGTCCCGCCGTGTTGTGCCTGCAGTTCAGGCAGACCCCGCCGCTCTTGCGTCCAGACAGCTTGTACAGCTCCATGTTGAAGCGGCACTTGCGAGCGTGCAGGTTGCAGTTGCAGGCTGTATATGCATGGAAACATGATAAAAAATTCAATTATGGCTGATTTAATGCATTTTCACGATGTTCTCCTCAGAAGTACTCAAGCCATAGTCAAGTCAATCACAAGTCAATCTCAACTTTCAATCCCCAGTCATCAGGTCATGAATATGGACAGAAAAAGAATGTGTCAGACTGGATGACTTGTGATTGACTTTCTGAGGCCTAACTACAACTATGACAAACATGGCGCACAAATGTCTGTCTCTTTCTCTTTGCCACTGATGCAAGGCACTTGTACACAAAGTCACAAAGGCTAAATGTAAAAAGATTTTAATGTTTTTTTTGACACTTTGTAGAAATTGTTGAAAAAAGTGTTTCTTTTCTACTTTAATTTAATCGTAAAAACTTAAGAAAACAACAGTGGGGTATCAATTGTATTTTTGGAACCTCAAATAATCACACACTGGTGATTTTATTGGAGCAAATTATGTTCCCGGGATGTTGGACTTGTCCAACCAGGCAAAGGAAATTCGAAGGCACAGTCGAGTGGGATCATGTTGCGCTGTAATGTGAATAGGAAATCGTCACGGTGTGATTTTCACAGAAAGAGAAATTGTTCAATTTGAAATGCGTTTTGGAAGAGTTGAGTCATTTTCCCATATGAATCGGAGACCATTACAACTTGAAGTGTATTTAACAATATTTGAACTTTCCATCTTACTCCTTTTTTTAAATGCATTTTATTTACGTGCCTACTTTTCAAAGTACACATTTATAGTCTGTTGCCTTTCCTTAACAAAATATTATTATTTTTCCAACCAAACAAAAACATCAAAATTGGCTGCTGAAAAACAATAAAAGCATGTATGTTAAATACATTTCACACCCTCACTCGTACCAAAACTTTTGGGGCACTACCCTCTTCAGCATATCCCATAGTTTGTTCGGATAAGACTTGGAAATCAGCTTACGTAAATTTGTCAATACTTATTCTTTTTATATTTTTGCAGCCACGCAAATACTTTTTCTGAGGATTTTCGTAACTGCAAAGTACCAGATTATTTCAGATTATAACACATTATTCTCTTATTTGTCGGCTTTAGTTCCTCTTGAGTGATACTAATCCAAACGCGACACTGCGAAGGGGCAAATCTGGGTATAGATTCCTGAAGTAAGAATTCAAACGTACTCCAGGGAATAAACTTGAAGAGAAGGCTAGCTGCTCTACTCTAAGACCCTCACAGAGACAGCTAAATGTCTGTCCTTTTCTGGATAAGATACAATAATAACAGCGTCTCAATCCAACAAGCCTTTCAACTGCATCCTTATAAAGGAGCCCTTGTCTTTCTTTGCAGTCCCGTCTAAATCCAAAAAGTGTTTCAAGCTAACAATGTCCGTGAAGGGAAGGGAAAACGAAACAAACTACCCCGCTGCACTTTTTAGCGGCAGTGAGCTCAGTCGTTGGGAGGATTAGGCCGGGGAGGGTCGAGTTACCATCGCCCTGAGGTATCTTCGTTTCTCCTTCTATTGAAGAGGGACGGGATTTAAAATAAGAGAGTTTGATGTTTCATTCCTGAGAAAAGGAAAAGTTCTCTGACACTTTCCTTAAATCTCAGGTTGTGGTTCTGCTGCATGGGTGTTGCTTTGTTTTGACAGAGTATGGGGTACATTTTTGGTGTACTACTCCCTTTTCGTGGGCTGTGTGGGGATTGTTTTCCAAACTTTGGTTCTGGAGGGTTGTCTGAAGGTAACTGAATCACACGCCAAGTGTGAGTGACTGGCAGGGCTCGAAAAAAGCAGGTGTCACTTCAGTACCACATTACATGTATTTTCAAATGTTGTGTCAGCTAAGGCCATGATGTAATTGAAATGTTTCTCACAGTATAAATTCTGATCCTCAGTTGTCTTGAAAATGAATGTTCAGTCTGTTTTGTGAATAAGTTTCAACATTATATATATACATCTTAGTATGCATTCTTACTTCATTCTTTGTCCACGAAATTAGATACATGTAAAATTTCCAACTAGGCTCAAGCCAAGAATAATTCCAAATCTATGGAAACATCTACAATACAGAAAAGAAACCCATCAGATATTAATCTGTTGGTCACGATGGTCTTTCAAGCCCTGACTAAGCATATAGTTTGTGGCTCATCATCGCCTTTGAAAAGAAAATGACGGTCTTTCTTTTCAAAAACTCGGAAGTGGCACTCCTGTATTCATAGGCCATTTCATTTGTTTGAACTTAATTTCTTGAGTAAGTGCAAGTGGGTGGTCGATTGGGTGGTTGGATAGGCTTATGCAATTTGCTCTCAAGACTTGATTGAAGGGGGTCACTTAATGATACGAGTGGGTGCTTTCTACAACCTGCAGGTGGTATGAAGCATTTCAGTTGATGCTTCCGCAAACAGTTTGTGGATGTGGTCCCCACTTTCTTTTTGTCAAGCCACTCAAGTGTAAGGCACACACAAAATTCCTGGGAAGTTTTTTTTGATGATCTCGGGAAAGTTGCTCCCCTCTTCAAACCAAGGCTCCTCTCCGCAAACAACGAGGAGAAAAAAAGGAGAGGGAAGTATTTGTCATCACCGCGGCGCTGAGAAAACAATGGCTCTTCAGGTGTTTCGAGAAAAGGGATTAAAGAAAGAATGTTAACCGTGTGGTATTGTGGCTGGGGTGAGTTTGGGGGGGGGGGGTGATGATGATGAATCAACGAACAAGACGCATTACGCATACTGACGGCAATAACTGGCAGGTGTGATATTTGAGTGTTTGGTGTGAATCGTAGAATGGCTAATGGAGGACGATAGGCCTCTTAATGAGTACAGTGCAAAAAGATTTTGCTGCTTGCAAACATCGGCAATGTATCAAGTTGGCCTCTCGGTGGATTGTACAGCTTCTGTGCGTCTCATGGCATGAAAACAATCAATCCTTGATGCAAATGAAACCAAATCCTAACTCTAAGCCAAGTCAAACTTCTTATTTGTATCACATATTGTATAATTAGCTATTGATGTTGGGTATGGCATTTCTCAACCCCAGAGGGAAGCATGACAGCTTAGCTGAGGGTGCCATGCATTTGCCCCACAAAATATATCTCTGGTTGTGCTGTACTGTATATTCAACTTGAGGTCCACAGGAACAGAGAGCAATATCCACTATTTCCACTTGAATAACATACATGAATGATGTCCACTGGTCCAAGACAATCACATTGATCAAGTAGATTTCTTCAGCTACAAAAAAGTACAAGAACAGTGGTTAAGCAAAAATGCTGAGAACTAACACAAGCAACATACATAGCATGGCATTATAATTGGTCGGTAGCCTCTTTTGATTAGGCACATATTTCTGTCTTCAGCGAATTCCTGATCCTTTGCTTGGCAGTTCCGAAAATTCAATTCTTGCATTGGCACCTATATACATATTACTGAGAAGTTGACTCGTAGGGCCTACATGTATTCTGCCACTGTGTGCACTTCAATATCAATTTAAGTGCCATTACAACATAATCTCTGGCATATGGAATGAACATCAAAGTAGCACGGCCCCTGGCTGTGTGGTCTGCTCCAGATATGCTGATCACCGTGGCACTTGGCACTGACTAGGGAGATATGATACAGCACTGACAAATTATATCGAACCAACAGCATTGAAGATAACAGAGACACAGGCCCTACCGCCTAAGATGTGTTTGCTAGGTCTTCAACCTCAATATTTGATGTCATCTGATCTTTGTTTTATCTGAGGGTGCGATATGGTAACATTATCTAGCCTAATCATACTAATGTGTGGATGTTATTGAGTAATCTGAACCTCTTGCAGTTGCACCTTGGGATATGGTGCTAGAAATAACATCCACACCTTTTAAATTAATGTCACTTTCATTCATTAGACTAACATAGTGACCACATTAAGGTGGGCTACAAAGTATTGAAAAAAATATGGCTATTGTTGCAAGTGTTTTTGAGTAGATAGATAATTTAGAGAAACACCATTGGGCTAACAGTAACACCATGCATCCGAATTTGCAAACTTGAAGCACATGGCAACCTCTTTCTTTAACCATTGTACAGAACATGGAGCTTGCTCATTTCTCCGTTTTCTTCTGCAGGAATAAATGCATAATAGCAACTCTTACATTCAGTCTCTGTACAGACAAGCAGATATTGCTCATTCATGCATCCCTTCTCTACCAACCACCCTTGTTCAGAGGCTACTGTTTGGGGATATCAGTAACCTTTTAAATTGGGGCCAATTTGATGGCCAGCGATACTAATTGGGTGTTCACACCCAAGGTCCAAGGAGCAAGTGTCAATCAAAGATAACATGATAGACTGTGGGCTATAGTCAAACTTGTGCCAGACAGACAGCATTTCATAAGCCTGGCTAGGCATGATCAAGTTAATGTTAATTGACCAGTTTACAGCCTTCCCTCAGCCCACAGGTGTGCCTTTTGTGTTGTCCCTGTGGTCAAACCCTCCATTCACTGACTCTACCCATAAAAACCACACAATAACCTAATTGGAATCAAGATCATGTCTGGGATCAGTGGCCCATGTCAGTCCTGATACACAGCTGGATAATTGGGTGTGAAAAACCAGCAGCTCAAGCCACACTTGAGGTGGGCCCAACTGGTTGCTAAATAGTCTAGTCAGCCTACTTAACTGTAACACCTTGGACACAGCACACCTGGACATGTACAGTTAGGTTCTTGCTGAATACCAAATAAGCATGAAACAATATTGATCTATAGCAGTACAGTTCCAACAGATCTTTCAAGCAAACAGTCATATTCAGTTAGGCCTAGTTACTTGGAAGCCGAGAGAATCCTAGAGAGAGATGGCTAAAGAAATGTTCAGTTTAAGAAGTAGGAGGAAAACCTCAGACTTGTTTTCCAGAATAACCAATGGAATCAGGTAGAGATTGAAAACCCAATTCACATGTCTGTCTGGGTGGGATTCGAACCCAGATCACGAGGTGCAAGGCAAGGAAAGTACCACTATATGCCAACTCAACTCCC